GGCTCAAGTGGTAGAGCACTAGCCTTGAGCTGAAGAGCTGAGAGACAATGCCCAGGCCCAGAGTTCAGGCCCCATGACCGGACCCAAAAAACAAAACAAAACAAAACACTAGCCTTGAGCAGAAAAAAAAAAAGCTCAGAGACGGTGTCCAGGCCCTGAGTTCAAGCCTTAAGACCAATCCTTATGTGTATGTGAAACACTTTTAAATTAAATTTATAATCTTAAAACTTATTTTACCCACAGTGGAAACATTTTTAGCTAAAAGTTATATTTGATTAGAGTTTAAAATAGAAAAAGATTACCAATAATAATAGTAACAAATATCACCACTTACTGACCATTACTGTTAAAACATTCACATACTGGTATCAGATTGATTTTCAATCCTTTACAGTGTATTTATATCACTAGTGCAATTTTGCTTCAATATCACTTAAGAGAAAAATAATACTAAAAATAGAGTATAGCCAGTAATTGCTAGCAGCAAAAACATGAAGTTGATCATTTTTATATGTTTAGAAGAACTAACTCTACTTATCTCCTTAGTATGAGGTATATTAACAACATAGAAAGCCCACTCTTCAATAACTTACAAAATGGGCAGGAGTTTGCAGAAGCCACATGTACGTAGAAGGTGCTACTAACAGCCAACTAGCCCACCCTTCTGGTGTGAGGGAAGTGAGGAAATACTCAGCTACCACTAAACTGGGTCACCATCCCATCCCATTTTGTTTACCAGAAAGCATGCATGCAGACACACAAACACAAAACTGGGAACAATGCCAATGACTCTGTTCAAACTGTTCTTTTTTACTTTCATCACCTTTATACAAAACACCAAAAATCTACAAGGCCTGCCTCTTTCCCACGAGGCAAAATGTGTTTAATTCATCTACTGATAACAACAAAATCTAGTTGTTACTCATCTAACAGAAAATACAGATTAACATATGCTACAAAATGTGCACCCACACACCAATAAATAACATTCAACAAATTCATGACTTAATCTTATCCTACTGGTTTCTTGTATCTTTTTGTTTCTTAGAAAATGAAAAATGCTACTGTGTGATTCATCCCTGTGTACTGATCTTATATCAGCTCTCAAACACAACAAACTTCATCCCAAAATTCTTAAAAGATTCATCAGGAGTCATCAGGAATGTTATTTTTCCAAGGAGGCTAAAAAGATTACATATTTGAGAAAACTACTGACAACCATCATATAGGGCAAGGAAAACGAAGATTTTAGTAAGAAAGGATCTATGCTGACTATTTAAACTCAAAAGTAAAAATTTTATTTTTGAGTCAAACACAAAGAACAAAGAATAGCTCTTGCTGAAGAAATGTTTCTATGTGAGTGAAGCAGAACTGTGGATATGTGGGTAATGCATGTTAATTGTTAATAAATTAAAGAAAGAAATCTCTAATAGATAGGGATAATAAGAACACTTGCTTAGGGCAAGGAATGTGGCTTAGTGGTCGAGTGCTTGCCTAGCATGCATGAGGCCCTGCCTTGATTCCTTGGTACCATATAAACAAAAAATAATTTTTTTTAAGAGTGCTCTTGGGGCTGGGAATGTGGCTTAGTGGTAGTGTGCTTGCCAAGCATGCATGAAGCCCTAGGTTCAATTCCTCGGTACCACATACACAGAAAAGGCCAGAAGTGGCACTGTGGCTCAAGTGGTAGAGTGCTAGCCTTGAGCCAAAGAAGCTCAGAGACAGTTCCTAGGCCCTGCTTTCAAGCCCCAGGACTGGCACACACATACACATAAAAAAAAAATTGTTCTTAAAAACAACAAAAAAAAACAATTGCTTAGCAATTACTAAATAACAAGTAACAATTGCCCCTAATCAATGTGACAACACCATGAAGACCTAATTAGCAACTTTGCTTAGAGAACTAAAAATGAAGTAATATTTATGTTTTTCACTCTGTTTTCTGACCTTCAATGGAGATAACTAAAAGGACTTATTTCCTAAGACTGTTGTGAAAATTAAATGAATACTTGAAAGTACTTTAGTAAGTTTAGTGTCTACAAAACCCACAGTAAATAATAAGTACTCTTTTTTGGCGGGGGGTGAGGGGGGGACCTGATCCTGGGACCTAAACTCAGGGCCTGAGTGCTGTCCCTGGGCCCCTTTGTGCTCAAAAAAACCCCTTTGGGCTACAGTGCCACTTCTGGCTTTTTTTTTTTTTTCTGTCATGGGGCTTATTAAACTCTGGGCCTCGGCACTGTTCTGAGCTCTCAGTTCAAGGCTAGCACTCTACCACTTGAGCCTAAGCGCCACTTCCAGTTTTCTGGTGTTTTATTGGAGATAAAGAGTTTCATGGCCTTTCCTGATAGGGTTGGCTTCGAATCACCATCCTCAGATCTCAGACTCCTGATCAGCTAGGATGACAAGCGTGAGCCACAGGTGCCAGCACTAGCAGCTTTTTCGAGTAGTTTATTGTAGATGATAGTCTCAGGGTGTGTGTGTGTGTGTCTTTGTTTAATTTGTAACAAAGCCTTACAGACAGGTGCAAACAGTAAATCCTCTTACATGTGGTACATGTAAGAAGGAATATGATTCCTGCAACAGTTGGCAATGTGAGGGTTTGTTTAAAACTCACACAGGATGCTCTGAGAATAAAGTTGATGTGAAAGCAAAAAAAAGAAAAATGAAAGAAAAGAGTCTCACAGGGAGTTTTCTACATAGGCTGGCTTCGAATCACAATCCTCAGATCTCAGCCTCCTGAGTAGCTAGGATTATAGGCATGAGATACCAGCACACAGCTATGATAGGTACTCTTATTCACAACCATTTAATTACATGTATAAGTCACATTAAGAAAAAGAACAAAGGGCTGGGAAGGTGGCTCAGTGCTTGCCTTGCATGCCTGAGGCCCTGGGTTCGATTCCCCAGCACTACATAAGCAAAAAGGAAAAAAGCCGGAAGTGGTGCTGTGGCTCAGGTGGTAGAGCGCTAGCCTTGAGCTAAAGAGCTGAGGGACAGCACCCAGGCCCAGAGTTCAGGCCCAGGACCGGACCCAAAAATAAAAGTAAAAAAAAAAAAAAAAGAAAAAGAACAAAGTATCTTTCTTTAAAGGATTATCATATTATAGTGCTCTTATTTTTCTGGCAACTAATAAAATCTAGATAGAGACAGACAGACAGACAGATGAAAAAATAAATCATTTAATAATATGGTCACTTTCTTTATAAAGAAATACAACCCAGAAGTAGTAATCCTAGCTGCTCAGGAGAGAAAGGTTCAGAGGACTGTAGTTCAAGACCAGTTTGGGTAAAAAGTTCACAAGACTCCATCTCAACCAATAATGTGGCATGGTGCTACACATCTGTCATCCCAGCCACATGGGAAACACAAATCGTAAGTCAAGATGGTCTGAGCATAAATGTAAGACTTCAGTGAAAAATTAAAGCAAAAAGGACTGGGAACATTGTTTAAGAGGTAGAGTATATGCTTAGCAAGCGTAAGACTCTGAGTTCAAACCCAAGTACTGAAGGGGAAAAAAAATCAATCCCAAAATTATAGGAAAACTTATATAAATTATTAATTAAAATAATTATATTACATGACTATTTAATTAAATCATTTAATTCAGTCTTTTTTTTTTTGGCCAGTTGTGGGGCTTGAACTCAGGGCCTAGGTGCTGGCCCTGAGCTTTTGTGCTCAGGGCTATCGCTCCACCACTGTGAACCACAGCTCCATATCCTTAATTCAGTATTTCTAATATTACAAATCCTAAATACGACTTACATGTAATTGAAAGTCCATGGAAATGTCTCCATCTTATATAAAATTTCTTTAAACCAATTAATGTGTATAAAATAACCATGCATTGTATACATTAATCAAACTTTTCGATTGAAATGAATCACCCCAAACATACATAATAATATGTTACTATTTATGGCCACTTACTGCAATCTCTCTACAAGCCGACATGGATATTCCTGTGCCTTCAATTTGCTTCAGTGCATATTCCTTTTCATCTTTTCTGCACATGAACAGAAAATATTTTTTTTTACTTTTCCATATATTACTTCCAGATTCAAAATTATAAGTACAAAAATAATGGGAATGTATTGAGTCTCTCGGTTGTATGTAAATACTCTCATTATGCCATATATTGCTTATTATTTTTATAATATTTCTACTACAGAAATATGAAATACCAAAAGAAATTTATGTAACAATAAAAACATCAGACAGAGCCAAAACACAAAATTCAAAATTTAACAGGGTAGTATATTAAACACAGCACTGGTTACAAAAAATAAACAAGCATAAATACAAACTCAAACATATTGCAAAATGATTCCACTCCTGCAGTAATTATGTGATGTCTATGAAAGCATTCTGTTATAAACATATACTACAAAAATAACTGACAGACATAAACTCTTAGGTTCACTTAAAATAATCTCATACCGTAAGAAGAAAAAAAAAAAAAAGAAGTATGGAGAACCCACTGAACACACAGATTTCCTCCTAGGATAGAGGATGCTTATATACTCCCAAATCCCAGCCTAAAGCCACCAATATCATATACCTAGGAAACTCTTCTATGAACCCCAGTAGGGAAAAAACAGGAATCTGGGAAACTCCAGTACTTATAAGAGTGCTTAACTAATAGAAGACATTGTTTCAATAATGGTGAACTACCAGGGGGAAAAATAGTGACTGGCTAGAACACAGATATCCTCAAGAAACTGGCACCAGAACCAGCCATAGGAAGACATCAGCTCAACGACCTTAACAGTGGGTCATCTCATGGGTTGTTCTTACAATGGGGCATAATCTATAACCTCCAAGTTTTGGTCTTCTGATTATATTAGTGCCTCAGCAAGTTTCACAATGTTGTCATGGTTTTTGTTAAATGCTGGTATCACAGAGTGTCACATTTTTCCTACTTAGCTATTACCCATTTACTCATTATACCCATTTATCGGCAGAAAAAGCAGTTTAAGAGATTTTCATAGCTGGAGGTGCAACTTAAGTGGTAGAGCACCTGCTTAGAAAGTAAAAGGCCCAGGGGGGAGGCTGGGAAGGGATGTGAAGGGTAAACAAAGGAGGAGGCTGCAATGCTTGATAAGAAATGTACTCATTATCTTGCCCATGTAATTGTAACCACTCTGTACAGTATGTTCACAAAAAATAAAAATTCAAATTTAAAAATAAATAAATAAAAAAGCTAAAAAAAAAAAGAAAGTAAAAGGCCCAGTACTGCCCTTCAAAACATTTTATATGCCTTTTGAAGATTTCTTCAATCATCTATGTTTTGGGTAAATAACTGAGTTATGGTCAGTTTTCTCCCATTATCAGTTTGAAAATTACAACAATTTTTCTTCCATTATATGATAAAAAATAAGCAGTATTTTAACAATACACACCAGATGGATTATGATGCGACTATTAGAATATGACTATGAAGATCATTAGAAAAATATCTAATATTAAGAAAATACTCAAATTATATCATATATAAAAATATAACTATATAGCTGGGCACCAGTGGCCCATGCCTGTAATCCAATCTACTCAGGAGGCTGAGATCTGAGGATCATGTTTCAAAGACAGGCCAGGCAGAAAAGTCCATGAGATTCTTATCTCCAATTAACCACCAGAAAACCTGAAGTGGTACAGTGGCTCTAGTGGTAGAACACTAGCCTTGAGCTAAAGAGCTCAGGGATAGCACCCAGGCCCAGAGTTCAAGCCCCACAACCAACAAAAGAAAACAACAGGGGTTGGGAAGGTGGCTCAGTGGTAGAACGCTTGTCTTGCATGCCTGAGGCCCTGGGTTCGATTCCTCAGCCCCACATAAGCAAAAAGAAAAAAAGCCGGAAGTGGCGCTGTGTCTCAAGTGGTAGAGCGCTAGCCTTGAGCTGAAGAGCTGAGGGACAGCACCCAGACCCAGAGTTCAGGCCCCACGACCAGACCCAAAAAAAAAAAGAAAAAGAAAACAACAACAAAAATATATACATATACTGGTCAGTACAAAAAAAAAAAAACTGTGCTAACTTTAGTGGTAATATAGTACTATTTTTAAAATGAGAATGGGGTGACAAAAATAATTTGATACTCTAGAAATACTTAAGTAATCTTTATCATTTTCAAAGTAAGAACTTAGTAATCTTTTGAAGAGCAAAATCAAAATTTTCAAAAAGTTTGGCCAGGCTCAGTAACACATTCCTTTAATGCCAGCATTCAGGAGTCTGAGGCAAGCATATAGAAAGTTCAAGACCAGCCCAGCCTACATAGTAAGTTTGAGGTCAGTCAGGCTAAATAGTGGACCCTGTCTCAAAAGGGAGGAGGCAGAAGACAGACTCATACCTGTAATCTCAGCTACTTAGGAGGTAGAGATAGGGAAGACTGAGATTTAAGATCAGCCTATAGCAAAATGTTAGCAAGACTCCATCCCAACCTATAAGCTGGGCACAGAGGAACATGCCTGTATCACCCCAGCTATTCAGAAAGCATCAGGAGGCACAAATAGGAGGACTGTGGTCCAGGCTGGCCCAGGAAAATAATGTAAAGATCCTATCCCAGGGCTGGGAAGGTGGCTCGGTGGTAGAGTGCTTGCCTGGCATGCATGAGGCCCTGGATTTAATTCCTGAGCACCACATAAACAGAAAAGGCCAGAAGTGGCGCTGTGGCTCAAGTGATAGAACATGAACTTTGAGCTGAAGAGCTGAGGGACAGCACCCAGGCCCAGAGTTCAGGTCACACGACCGACCAAAAAAAAAAAAGATCCTATCCCAACAATAATTAAGGCAAAATGGGCTGGTAGGTTAAGTGGAAGAATGCCTGCCCAACAAGCATAAGCTGCCCCCCCCCAAAAAAGGGGGGGAAGCTTAAGCAATCTTTATGCACCTTTTTCTCCATCTTGTTTCCTGTTGTTTTTTGTTTTGTTTTTTTGCCAGACCAAGGATCTGAACTCAGAGCCTCAAGCTTGTTTCCTTAGCTAGCACTCATACCACTTACATTCTGGCTTTTACTGGAACTTTCCTACTTGGGGTTGTCTGTGAACCTTGTTCACAGTCTCCTGAGTAGCTAGGATTAAAAGCATAAGTCACAGGCATCTTGCCCATTTCCTGTTTTTATGGACTTCTTAGAAACCACCAAAAAACAGAAGCATTAGGTGAATGTAATTAAAACCAATATCCCCTTTAACTACAATCTATGTACAAAGTATGTTTTAGAGCCCACCTGCCTCAGCTGCTCTGAAACAATGCTTACAATGTACATATAACATATTTAATAATTAAATTAACTATCAGGTATCTGTTACTAAATATCTAAGCTTAATAAATTCTTGAAACATTATAAAAGCCTTCTAACAAAATTTTCACATATAATCATACTTGTTTTTCAACAGAAATATTTCAACTCCCAGTTCTCCTAAGTGAAGTACTCCAGAAGCTCATGTAATGCATAGCTTTATTTTTAATACTGTAAAGAATATTACACAATCTGGATAGGTTATCGTTGCTATGGAAACTATGATTTTTTTTTGCAGTTAAGTCAAAAAGTGCAAAATTAACACATCACATTAATGGCTTTTGAATTTCACACCCAGCTGCCAAAGGAATTTGGAAGCTTGAACAGAATAAACTGAAGCATAGACATAGGACTTTACTCTGAATTATATATGGTTATGAACAAGTATCAAACCTAGCAATCATTTAACCTAATAAATTTAAATATAACTTCCATCTGGTTCTTTTTTTTTTTTTTTTTTTGGTCAACCATGGGGCTTGAACTCTGGGCCTGAGCACTGTCCCTCAGCTCTTCAGCTCAAGGCTAGTACTTTATCACTTGAGCCATAGCACCACTTCCAGTTTTCTACTGGTTAATTGGAGATAAGAGTCTCATGGACTTTCCTGCCCGGGCTGGGTTTGAAGTATGATCCTCAGATCTCAGCCTCCCAAGTAGCGTGGATAACAGGCGTGAGCCACCAGCGCCCAGCAACTTCCATCTGTTTAATGAAATATTCAAAACTCTGTAATTTTAATATTTTCAGCTTTTAAATGAGAATACAAGAAAGTATATAAATCAATCATTCTTTCTTAGTAGTCTGTCAGATGGTAAATGGTGAATGAGGTACCACTAAGATTTGCCCAATGAAGAAATGGCAAGATCCCAGAAAGCCTATGAGACTCCCTGGCATTAACCTTTTATATCGTCAGTGCAGTTATTTAAGCAGAGTATAAAGACTGAAAATGTGTCCTTGACCACATTGTCCAGAAATATTTCAATGACTAGGAACATGGGGGAGAAAGCTTTGTGTTTTTTATCCTAAGTGAGTGTTCCTCTCCAGGAGGGCCTGCAAGTGGTCCAACAGCTTGCTTATTTCCAAACCTGTAATATCAAAATATAGAAGCATTTCTGAAGACCATCCTCTTTCATATCCCTTAGAAGACAAAAAGTTCTAATAATTTTAACCTTTAACTTTGCTTTTCCTAACTATATGAGAATTTAACATTTAAGATAGTAGAATGCTAACAATTTTTATAACTAGATGTTACCAATAATACATTCTTCAGTATGAAACCTGAATCTTTCCAATATATTTTTCTCCAAGAATCTGCTAGAAATAATCAGTATGAAGCCTTTTTCCTTATTATGTGATAACTAGTTTTTCAGGTTAGGAATGTTCTACACCATACCCACACAGAAAGAAAAGATGAAAAAAACAGACAGATAAAGAGAAAGGGAGAAAGAAAGGGAGGAAGGAAGGAAGGAAGGAAGGAAGGAAGGAAGGGAGGAAGGGAGGGAGGGAGGGAGGGAAGGAA